TATTTTGGTTTCCTACCAAAAGTGTCCAACTAAGATTGGCGGAGGGGGGCAGGGTGGCGTAGGGGAGGTTGAGAGAGAAAGAAATTATCTGTTTTAGCAATCAATGTATGTATTGCAGTTATGTTACTAGGTTTTGAATTCTTTTCTTCCTATTCGACTAACCCTTCTATCATAAGGAAATATCTCCTTTTATCTTTGGTAACACTTCTTAAAATCTCCTTTATCTGATATTAGTATGGTTATTGCATTTTTCTTTTGATAGGATCATAGATTTTTAGAGCTGAAATTGAATTTATTGATGTGTACATTCACCCTCATTTTATCTGTAATTTGAGATACACAATTTTGTTGCAGAATTTACCAGATGTCACACTTTCAACACAGCATGAAAACCTTTGCACTCATTATAGTTCTCAATTCTTTAGACACACAGTTGATTAAAATGGCCTCATCTCATGTTCCTGTGTTTAGTCTTTCTCCTGAAGTTTGTACTTGGCTGATCTATTTTGGGAAGGTGGAGGCATGTTTTGAAGCCAATTAGGGCTGGCTTATAACAACCTTTACACTCATTACTACCTTTTCTGTCTTGATTTTTTTTCCTTTCAGGTGTCAGTGCCACTCTTCTAGGCTTTACTTAGGCACTGTTTGCTGAAACTTTAGTTTTCCTTATGTGGTCTTATGACGGGTTTTTCAGACACTTTGTTGTCTTTTTACCCCAGTCTCCAGAGATGCCCTGCCACATCTCCTTGGGTGCATTGGAGAACATCTGATTTTCTTCTGGTCTTTGGTAGAGGGAGAATGACCATAGAGGTTTATGATGCAAGTAGCTATGTTTTTGTATGCATATTTTCATAATTCTCTATCCAATTTCCAGTGCCTCAAACTCCCTTTGTGTTCCTAGCAGTGCAGCCCTTTCTCATGGTTTCCCAAGCCCTAAATTCTATAAGAATGAGGAATTGTATTTTGAAGCTTTCCCTACTTGCTTCTTTCACTTGTGAAGCACCACTCACACACACTTATGCAAAATATTTGGGACTTTCGGATCACCCTCTTGTGTTCTCTACACTGTGACCTCTATGTGGTACATCCTATGAAAGACCATGGGACACCCACACTCACTGATGTTGGAGCATCTGAGGCCTGTGTAATGACAACCTGCTTGAGTCTGAATTCTTATGTAGGGGTAGAAATAGACCTGATCCCTTGCCTGATTCCTATTTAACTGTATTTTGAATTATTATTTAATCTAAAAATGTAATTACTATGTTTAAAGAACCCCATTTTAACTCTGCTGTATGTGAAGTATCTGATCTTCAGAAGTCAGTTCACTTACTCATGCTTTGCTTTCCTCATCTGCAAAATGCATTGATAACTATTTTATGAGACTGTTTGGGGTAGATGAGCTAATCTTATAAAACACATAGTACCTTTAGTACCTGTCCTGTAATAAGGAGTGAGACAAATTATCTGCTATATTGATAATGATGAAAATAGTGACAGTTCATTTTTTGTGGTTACATTCCACCAAATTTGCAAAGTTAAGGTCTACAAAAAATATATTTTTCCACCAATTTCCATTCTACAGTTGTTAATATATGCCAGTGGGTAAGATTATTCTAATGAAGATATTAAACCACTAAGAAATGGGGTGCATTGTTGAATATTGTAACTACCACCATTAATTAAATGAAGCCCTTGTCCAACCACTTCTCCTTTACAGTGCTCTTCTCACTTTGGAACCTTGCTGCCATTGGAAGCTGCTTTTTCTCTTCTTGCATCATAGGTAGTTTGCTTGGAAATCTCCAAATTTTCCCTCTCTTGATTATTGACATGACCCCAAAGCATCTTTGTATCTGGCTTTCTAGTCTACTCTGTTAGGCATTGCTAATAGAAAATTATTATTCTTCAACACTAGAATTATTATAGTATTTTTAAGGCATAGGATTAAGTTTCATGCCACTTTTCAACAGCAAAGATTATTTGTTGCTATTAATATCAATGCCTGTTTGGAATAATTTTTACATTTAATCAGTAAAAATATGTCTTTGTTTTAGTTTCTTTTTCCAATTCATCTCTGTAGACTATTTTAAATAAAATAGTTTCAAAATTCCAGTAGTACTGAAATTAACTGCTTATTTTAAAAACAGATAAGATGCTGTTAAAAGTTAAGAAAATACAATGTATCATATGTTATTTTTCAGTACTTTAGTGATCCTAGGAGTATGGGTAATAAGACTTATTGAGTAACAAAGTGAGCACAATATTTTGAAAATAACTTAAAAGTTTTATGTATTAAAGGTATTTTTGCAGTAGAAAGGTAAAGCTAAATGTCATGATCATGAAAAAATACAATAAAGTCTTTAAGGGATTAATTGTATGAACCAAGACACTTATGTGAGCATCTTTTCATGTTTGATCAGTTTTATTTCTGATGGCAATAAAGCCAAGTAAATGAAATGCAAAATGTTGACTGCAGTGTAATAGTTGACATTTTTACATGCATAAAATAGGGTAAATTTATGGTTTTATGATGCCTGTAGGTGCGAATATTGGATGCATATTCTTAAAGTGATATATGGCATCATGGCCAAATACCACAGGGATAGAACCACAATTGGTATGTACTTGTTTATTGATTTTCTTATCTTGGATGTATAAAATACTGCTTCTAAGACTTCTTTTCTCTGTGTTGTCAATTTTCTAGGTTAGATGTGTGACCATCATGAGCCTATTCTTTTCATTTTTGAATTATGTAAAATGGCAGCATCAATTTGGAATGGGGAGTTAAAATTGCATTGTTTCTATTAAAATTCTGGTGTCATATACTTAATTTTTTTGTTAAATATGATTCCAAAATGTATTAGATTCTTTTTACTTAAATTAGTTCTATACTTTCTAATCAAATTAGAGAAAAGTATCTTAGTTTCAATGCCTGTGTTTTTTTCCAGAAGAGAAATAAGATCCTCATGAGGGTGTGTGCTATGTGACTCAACAACCTTATCTTGCTGCACTTGTTGGCTGTTCTTGTCACCTGTCATGTCCTAATTCCTGCCTTTTTTCTCTCTCTCTCTTTTTTTTTTTCAGTATTCCTCTTTAAAATCAGGACTCTCATTTTCTTCTTAGGCAGGAAGTGAGGTGGACTTTAACTTACAGTACAATTGTTAGGGGTTTGCTTACCTTTGTTTTAGGTGATAAAAATCGGCTTTTATAAACTGAGCATAAGAAATAAAAAACAGATAACATAATAGATGTCTGTTTTTAAGTACAAATATTAAAACAAACATTTTAGGATATATCATTTTTTATAAATGTGATTAAAATCAACAGATTTCATCTACAGAGATGTAACATATCAAAAACAAACTCAATGCCAGTTTATAGAAATAAATTAAATTGGACTTCTTTCATAAGCGGGCTGTTTTACAAGAAAAACATAATACTCTGGATTTCAACTAGAAGTACCAGATAGATTTTGAGAAACCTGTTACTTGCGGCATTACCATATCAAAAGTATTCAATTCTAAAGATTTCTGGGGATGTTCATATAGTCTGATGGCCATTAATTACATGGCTGATTCTTTGTAGCAGAGTCACCTTCGGTTGCCTGAGTTCTCTGGCTCTTGTAGCTGAGTATGGTGCTCTGTGCTTTTCTTGCCTGGTTATATTCTTACTGCTCATATCATTGAGAAGATCTCATGTGGGCAATAGAGTCAGGCATTTAAAGTTTTCTAGTAATTCATTAGTGGTTCCAACAAATGAATTACTTTTTAAAAAGTGCAAATGAAGCACTTTTTATTTTCTGTGAAATTGCCCCTTTTACTCTGTAGAAAACTTAATTTTGAAATGTGCAAGGCCTACTTAAGGAGAAATCCTTCAGGTTTTTTAAGCCTATCATTGTGTCAAGTTGGATTATTAGAAAAGTGTGTGCTTCAGCCACATTTCAGTAGTTATCCACATTAGTATTTAATAACATGCCCTCACTTTTTATCAGGGGCCAAAGAGAAGGCTGTATGACAGTTATTCATGTTAGTTTTCATAAAACTTCAACTGCATTCTGTAGGTTATGTTAGTTCTTCCTCATTATTAATAAAGATTCGTGTGATAAAGGCTTAGAGCTTTATTCTAGAAGAATTTCCTTGTTTTTCCCACCAACTTCTATCTCTTCCTTTAGTAATTACTAAGAGCTTTATAGCTTAACAGTTTCCAGCTTTGAGTGTCTAAGACTCACAGAACCAAATTGATTATAACTTGGTTATTTTGGTAAAATCCTTACTAATGTTTTTCTTCACTTCATTCATTGGTTCATGTTAATGTCCCATTTCCAACTCTTTTCTGGAAATAGGCAGACAGCACATAAATAACTGAATGAACTAGATCATTTCATTTTATCTAATATCACAATAAGCACTTTTAAATTTTATTTAAAAGCACTTTTATTTTTTTAAATGACTAATTAAAAAAACTAGTCAATTAAAAAAAATAACAATAATAATTGCAAATCCCTTAAATCACTAGCCTAATTCAGAGACCTCCCTATTCAGTTCTTAGCATAATCCCTTGTAGCTGCTATGCTGCAGGAAATGGAAACTAAGGCTGGAGCTCTTTGCTCCATATCAGTGCAAATCCTAGAGTTGTGTAATGCACAGTGATCTGGGAGACTAAAGAAGGAAAAGGGTTTGTTGGTGCCATCATTCCATTCATATACTCTGAAGTGATAGCTACTTGAGTTCAAATATAGTTTTCAGGGTGCTTGGGCAATTTATTTTTCCAATGCAATTTATCTTCCAGGAAAACTGATGAAATACGTATGTTTTGATGAAGTTAGACAGGATAAAAGTGCCAAACACTTATCCAAATGAATAGAAGACATTTGTGTTTGGTGTTTAAAAATTATTACTAGAGCATATTTTAATGAGCAAAATTATTTCTCTTAAAATTAATATGTATCTTACTTTTTTAGAAAAAGATTGAGTCATCAAACTTATTTGTCCTTATCATAGGATCCTGGTTACTGGGTGAAGATTCATCACTTAGAATACACAGATGGTGGAATCCTGGATCCAGATGATGTTTTGGCAGATGTTGTTGAAGACAAAGATAAGGTAGGTGACTAAAAATGTTCTTTGTTTTCTTCCATATGGCTGCATGTTTTCAAGAGATTGAAATCCTTAACTAACTCATGTGTCAATTATTATTAAAAGATACCATCTGTTCTGTTTTACCTGGACAGCCCATAAATCAAAGTTCTTCATCAGGTGTTTGGAAAAAGTTTGTCAAGGTTTAGGAACCTGTTTGTGGTAGCCTAATTAGCAGATACTTCATTCTCAAGAGTTTCCCATACATCTCAATAAATTAGTGTCAGTCACTGAGACTGTTGGAGTTCTCATTGTTGCTGCTGGTTCTGGAGTTTATCCCTGGCCCTTGCTAAACATTCAACAAAATAACTGAGGTTTGAATGTGTTTCATGTTTCACAGTAGAAAACAGTGGGAAGGAATGTCTCATGAAGGACTGTGGTGAAGATTTTTTCTTAAAGTACCTGGCAAGCCACTGCCTTGAGTGATAGTCTTGTTTTCATTGCTAAAACCAAAAAGCATAGAATTGAGTGTTTCAAAAAGTCTGTACGTGTTCTGCCACCTACTTGGGGATAATCCCATTGCAATTATTTTGTTCTAATGGGATTTTTCTTCTGATGCTAAACTGAGGAATGTGAAAGTGTGAACTGTGCAGCAGCAGTACCCTGGTGTATTGCTGTTGAAGCACATCCTTTAATCCTAGCTCAGGGTCGGGCTCCCCTTATCATTGGCTAATGTACTCTCCCAAATCAAAGGCTTCCAAGTCTTTCTATGTATATTCTTAGAACTGACTCTAGTAAGCTAATTTATAGTTGGAAGCATGTTTCTCTGTATTGTTTTTTGCAGTTTCATGGTGTTCAGGATATGTGTGTGTGTGTACATTTGTGTGTCTGAAAGTGGACTATAATATAGAAAATGTGATTTATTGAAGTCAGGTAAAATTAATATTTTTAACTTTTTTTCCATAAGGTCTTTCCTAACTTTTCTTAATCTTTGCAAATATACTGCATGTTTGTTTTTCACATTTTCTGTTGGAACTCAAACTTGGTTTGTTTTACATAGTAATTAGCCCTTTCACAAAGGACTCATCCCCCTAAATAGATTGTCATCTAGAGGACAGGGACTGGAAGCTGTTTTATTTCTTTTGTTTTCATTGTGGTAAGACTATCTGGTATAGTATCTTACATAAACTTGATTCTTAAGTAACATTCACTGGATTAATGAGTAAGAAAGCAAACTTTACTCTTTACAGTTGAGTCATATGATTTTATCATACTTCCTAGTTAATTAGTTATTCTCAGGTTAAGAATAATGTATGATTTTCATCAGAATGCTAAGGGAGGGTTTTTACTTCTCTTCCCTATGTCACCATCTACTTCCCTGGGACCTTCTTCCTTTGAAATATTCTAGGTTTTTGAGTTATTAATGAAAAAGGAGGTTCCTGTCTCAAATTTTACTGATGCCAAGTGTATTAAAATTAAAAGCTGAAAAATGGCAATTTTAAGAAGTGCCAGAGGTAGTTGTATCACCCCAGAGTTGTCCAAAACCTCATTACACAAAGGATGATTCCACGTACAATGCCCAGGGAAATAATTTGTCCAACAGAACTTTTCCCTCTGCAGCATTCTTTTTTGACTATCTTGGTAATGTGTTTTTTAAAACCATATCCATTTAGTAGACACAGAAACAGCTTTATTATATCTAATCTCTCTTTTAATAGGACTGTACCACCATTTATTGAGTAAGGTGACAATGTGAGATAATCAGTTAAGATCTTAGCAGAGAATCGTGCACCTCAGGTCGAGCTTTAACCAGTCTCATACCACATCTTAAAGCTTCTGCATGCAGCCTCACAGGTATTGATCTGCAGAGTTGATGCAAATTTACACTTTTGACGTTGCAAAAAATTGTTCTCTCTCCCATTTCTTTCTTTTAAAAAAGATTAAGTGAAAAAGAGAGCATTATTTAGTTTCTGACATTTCCTCTGCAATCTTAAAAACAAAAGAAAACAGTATCAAGAGCATATATTAGTTGTGCAGGAGGGTTCATTGTGACATTTCCATATATGCTTACTATGTCCTCTGCTAGCTTAGGATTTTATTACACCCCTAGATCTAGTGTGGAAACAACTTCATTTTATCTTGCTTTTTTTGTCAGTTTAGATCAAGCAGGAATTTTAAATGATGCCTTGTGGATCTCTCTAGTGACGTATCAAACTTATCCAAGATCATTTGAGGTAGAATTGGGTTATATTACATAACAGTTTACCTTTGCAAATTGGCTACCTAATGTTCTCTTGTGTTTAGATTATGGAGCGCACACAGGCAGAAGGAGCCTGGATGGGCGCACATACTCGTCACACTAAAACCCAAACACTTCCATTCCTAGGAAAGATTCAGTACAGGTGAGAAATGGAAATAAGGAACTGTTGAGAGTCTAGCAGCAAAGGCTGAGGCCATTTAGTATATGGAAAAGCTATGCAGTGCATGCACATATGAATAATAAAAAAATAAAAATTAAAAAAAATAAAGAAAAGCTATGCAGAACATTTGAGTTAATTACTAAAACCAGAGGTTAAGTGATACCCAATGAAAAATCAGAGAAGGGTCTAATAGAGTTTAGTCAGATTTCTAAAGTGATAACTTTTAAAACCTCTGTCCAAAGTGGCTCATCTTTGGACTTTGCCTCTTTTATTCCTTTGGCCAACATGGCACTTGGTGCATAAATGCTGTGTTTGAGATTTTTTGTTTTGTTTTGATTTGCTTTCTCATTACAACTCTTTCAAGGGGAACTGAGTTTTTAACCATCTTAAACTATTTCCATTCTATGTTTTGGCAAAATCTTATTAGAACAGCTTTGGAATTGTGCATTTTATGATAAGTAACACTTGTGCAATATGTCTTAAAACTTAGTAATTATTTAGTTATGATAGGTATTTTGAAGATTCTTCAGTTTTATGTATCAGTTTGATGATTCCAGGTCTTTGGAATAAATCTAAATATTACAGCATTACACCAATGTCTTTTTTTCTGGGTGCCAAAGGCAGCTGACTTGGTTTACCAAATAACAGCAAGTTAACATTTTATGGAGCCCTGTGTCTCACAATGTCCTCAGCACTTATATCCTGTTTTATGTTAGAGCAACCTTCAGGCAGAAGCCATTATTATTCCTGTTTTCAATTTCTAGAAATTGGCTTGGTTAAAGAAGATAAGTACAATGTGATACCGAAATACAGCAGTATACAACTTCTGTTACTTAAATTGAATCACTGCCATGGTCTAATTAAATATACAAAAGCTAAACTATATTATATAATACATATTATGTGGGAAGATGTCTTTATCTTTGACTAAGTTTTGCCTTTGTCAAAGGGGCTTGATGGTCAGTTGACTCCTGAATCACATGTGATGCCTGGTACACAAATGTTACAATTTCTGTTCAGTTTATTTACTGTTAGTTATGTGTCCCTGAGAAAGATTTTTTTCTTATCTGTATTAGCCTAAATTTCACCATTTATAAAGTGGCTATAATGTTAGTTCTTACAGGGTAAGTGTAGAAAATGATATAGGCAAACTATATAAAGTTTTGAGTGTATTATTATGTATACTGATTGTTAGCTGTCATCCTAATAATATTATGGTAATGTTATTTATTTTTCACCTATATATTCTGATTTGAACATTAAATGCTTTTAAGTATTAAAACATCAAATTATTTTATTGTATGTTTTAACACTGTTTAACAAACCTTATTAAATTTGTTTAAAGGTTTTTAAAATGTTAAAAATAGTTTTATAAGAACATATGTGATTATGACAAAACATTTGTATATTTCATATTTGAGAAATGAAAATGCCAGTATGAGTAAATCTAAAATCAGAATATCTTTATCAGAACATATTGTTTGGTAACATAAGTAGCATTCAGGGTTCTGATGTGGTTTTAAAATACAGTCTGGTTTGCACAATGGATGAACTAGTGACCTAAAAGTAGACACTCCATCCTGCAGTCCAGGTTGCTTTCTCAGCACACTCTGTTGCCCTCTAGTGGAGGCCACGGTGTCCTAGAAACCAGCTCATAGGAAGCACTTCCTGAATGTGATGAACAATTGGTTCTATTTTATTCAAGAATAATTTTTGTTATATTTTTAATATAACACAGAATCGGACATGGTCAATAAAATCAGTTTATAATACTTACCTATGCTTTTTGAGTTTTCTAAGAAAGGTTAAAGCAAATTCTTTGCATTTATAAAATTTGCTTATGTATTTGGTCTTCCTAGCTTCATATTTACTGTTTGAAAGGCTAATGACTGAATGTGTTGAAGGATGTAGATTTTTCAATGTGTAGTTGAATAATTTATTGTACGTTGTGTTTTTCTGAGGAAGAGGGATGGTAAATTAGACTACTTTTTAAAGTTCCAAATTCATTTCTGAGCCCTCATTTTGTTGATAAGACTTCTTTCTCAGTGTAAAGCATTTAATTTAAACCAATACAAAACATATTGTGCTGTTTTTTATTTTTTCCTGTTTTACATTGTTGTGGGCCTTCCTTCCTCATTCCCTCTGGCCTTTCCTTCCTGCAGAGATTTATTTAGTGAACAAGTACAAAAGAGGGAGAAATAGAAAAAGAAAAAGGAGCATGTCCTGAGATGCAAAGGATGGATGGTTAAGAGGTTTTGGTTTCAGGCTTTTGATGTTTGAAAGTACATGGAGGAGATTTGGAGAGTGGCTCAGAAATAAATGCAGAAGCTCACAAATAGCAGAAGGATAACTGGTCAAGAAAGTTCATCTCAAACTTTTGAAGATTATTTTCTTCTATAGAATTATGAAATTATAGAATCATAGACCCAAAAGAGGCTCTAGTAGTCGTGTGGCCTAACCTCATCATATTCCAAAGGAGGAAGTCTGAGACCAGGAAGAGTTTCTAGAGCTCCATATCTGACATTAATTTCTTTCCTGAGTCCATTTCTGCATTTCCTCTTTAAGCTCCTCATAACATCTCAAGCAGATAAAGAGTGTTTCAAGTTG